ATCTTGCGTCAACCATGCCTTCGCTTACGTGCTCAAGTTTCCTCAAGCAGCATCGATCTTCTCGACCGTGTCCGAGTGGTCTGTTGTCGCCAGTGGGGGTCATCCAATTCCAGGTGTTCTGTCATGGCGGGGCTGCGAGTGTGATTCACCGCCCCATCGATGTGCACGTGCTCAAACTCACACGTAATTCGAAGCCTGGGGAGCTGCCAGAACTACAATACCGGCGGCCACAGATCCAACGAGCGCTCTCCGCCCGCCTCCTCTTCCTCCTCCTACTTTCCAGTCCCCCATCCCTCCTCCTCCTCCTCCTCCTCCTCCTCCTGCGTTCCTTCCTCCCCTGCCTCCTCCTCCTCCTCATCCCCTGATGGCGTGCGGAAGATAGCGGGCACCCCTCCGCGTACTGTTTTTTACACACAGGATTTCCCGGAGTTGGATTTTCGCTTGGTTGTTTGTTCAAAATGCTGCTCTCGCTGAGACGCCGGCTTCATTTTCGGGCTTCCGCTCGTTCCGAATCGTGCTCCCGCTGCAGCGTGGGCCTCATTTTCGGATCGGTGTTTTGCCTCCGTCGTTCAGGATGGCGTTCTCGCCCCAGCGCGGGCCTCTTTCTCGCGCGCCCATCCGCCCGCCACCACCGCACCGCGCCCCGCCCCGCCCACCGCCATTTCCACCCACCAACGCACGCACGCACGCACGCACGCACGCGCGCACGCACGCGCACCACCACCGCGCACCGCCACCACCACCCCACCCACCACCACCACGCTACACCGCGTCACACCACATCACACGCGCGCGCACACAGAGACGCACACAGACACAGACACGCACGCACGCACGCACGCACGCACGCACGCACACACACACAGACACACGCACACACACAAGCACGCACGCACGCAAGCACGCACGCACGCACGCACGTACACACACACACACACACACCACCACCACCACCACCGCCATCACGCACGCACGCACCTGGCCCACCACCAAACCACCAAGACGCCACATCACGTCACACCACAGCACACACGCACACACGCACACACACACACACACACACACACACGCACACACACACACACAAAAACACGCACACACACACACACTCACAAACACACACACACACACACCACCACCACCACCACCACCACCACCACCACCACCACCACCACCACCACAACCACAACCACAACCACAACAACAACCACGCACACACGCACGCACGCTCGCGCACCACCACCCACTACGCACTCGCGCGCGGAGCCACAGGTCCGCTACGACACGCGTCCGCGGATAGAGAAAATAAGCGCCATGGTAAGGGATGGGAGGGAGGGGTAGGACGTCATATATGACGCGAGCGCACATAGCGTGTCCTCCTCCTCCTCCCCCTCCTCCTCCTCCTCCTCCTCCTCTTCTTCCTCCTCCCCCTCCTCCTCCTCCCCCTCCTCCCCCTCCTCCCTCCTCATTTGCCTCTTTGTCCTCCTCCTCCCCCTCCTCCTCTTCGTCCTCCTCCTCCTCCTCCTCCTCCTCCTCCTCCTCCTCCTCCCCCTCCCCCCCCTCCCCCCCTCCCTCCCCCTCCTCCCCCTCCTCCCCCTCCTCCCCCATCCCGCTCCCCCTCCCTCCACGTCCCGCTTCCCCCACCTCCAGGCGGAGGCGGCAAGAGAGAGAGGGCCACGCCTGGCCCGCAGGGGGGCGCAGCAGGTGTGGCCCAGGAGAGCTCCACGGATCCAGCGGCGCATCTCGGGCCGGCCGCAGCCGAAAGGCTTGAGCACGATGCCGCGCGGCGAACCCTTACACAAGTCGAGCAGGGGATCGACTACAGGACTGGGGTGACCCAAAATCCAAGTGTTCGTCGGATCTGCAGCGCACGTGCGCATGATGCCCGTAAATCTAAGAAAATTCGACTCACCTCTTGTAGATGCAACGGAAATCCCACCAGCCCTGTAGGGCCTGAGTGGTTCAGCGGGTTTCCTCTTCCAGCCCCGAAGTGCTCCGTTGGGCGACGGGTGTCCCTCCTCCTTCCCCCTCTCCCCCTGGGTCTGCACTGGGCCTTCTGAGAAGCGCTGGAACGTCCGAGGTGGCCTCGGCGAGGAAGCCAATTCTTAGACGCTCCCACGTTAGAGGCGTGGTCTCCCCCAGGGGGTCGGAACCGCGCGACAGCGCATAGGATTCACAGCGCTCAAGTGCCAACATTTCCCAGCTTCCACTGCGAGGCAAGCGCCATGGACGGACATCCCATGGACGATTACCAAAATAGTGAAGGCCGCAAACCGGCCCGAAATGCATTAATCACCACAAGGTGCCACACAGTTGAAATCTTCAGGTGTGTGGGGGTGGCGGGAGGGTAGCTTGAAGCCAGGACGGTTGCGAAGCAGAGAACAGCAGAGATACCTCAAGCTGCTTGGAAACTGCTGCGACCACTCGTGCACACGAAAACCAGTCAGAGACAAATCGCTCCTACGTTACAGGCGTGGTCTCCCCCGGGGGGTCGGAACCGCGCGACAGCGCATAGGATTCACAGCATTCAGTTGCCAACGTTTCCCAAATTCCACTGCGAGGCAAGCGCCATGGACGGACATCCCATGGATGATTCTCAAAATAGCGAGGGCCGTAAACTGGCCTGAATTGCATTAATCACCACAAGATGCCACACTGTTGAAATCTTCAGTCCCATCCCCATACTCTGATGTCCTTGGGAGGGCGGGCGGGAAAAAAGACAGGACCGGCAACGAAAGACAACTGGGCACTGAAGGAGCCCTGGCGGGCCCCATAGACAGATCAGGCACACACCCGACGGAGAATGTCTCTGGCTCTGGCCTCAGTGAATTGTGTGGCGGACGGCAATTGCGAGCCAGAGAGCTTCGAACATTGCCGAAGTGCCGAACCATGCTTCTCGTAAATCCTCACACTTTCCCGGGCGCGCCAGCGGCCTCGAGCTTGAATGGTCTCGATGGGCCGCGCATTATATAAGGCGTCATGCGACGGGCCCCCGTGGTGCAACTGATTGGGGACCGACAGGAGCTCGACGACTCCTAAAGCCACTGCCGCTAACTTCAACGATTTCTCATACTGCACATGTGAGAGAGGAGCGAAGAGACTGGGGAAAGAGCACCTGCGGGCACGGGCTCTGAGGCGCGACAAAGTCTCAGGCACCAGGCGGCGGACGGGCAGGTCGGCCCCAGCCTTCACGGTGCAGTCGAAATCTCTGTTCTCAGCGGGCTCCCCGTCGCGGAGCGGGGCCGCCGCCCGCGACCGCAATGTCGGCCGGCGGGCCAGAGCAGCGGCTGCCAAACACATGTTCAGATTTGATCGCCGGCAGCTCGCCAGGCCTAAAATACACGTCGAACTGCACCAGTGCCCCCAGCGCCACCAGGAGGTCGGAAGAGGTGCCGTTGTCCAAGACGGCGCAAGTCAGCAGGACGGCCACGAACGGTGGCGGGCCCCTGAGGCACGGCGGAAGCTTAGCGGACCAGCCCGCAAGAGCTCCCCTGGCTCTCTGAAGTTTAGGCATCGCAGCCGACCAGCCCCGCTGCTTGCAAAGGCCGTGCAAGGCCGTGCGTCCCATGTGTTGCGGCTCGCCTGCAAAGAACAGCTCTTCGAAGTATAGGTTGAGGGTCGTGTCGGCGTCAGTCAGCGCATCGAGCAGGAGCCCTCGGCGCTGCGCAAAATCAGCTAGCTCGGCCACGGCAGAGAGGTAGCTGGTCAGCGTGGCAGGGCGGAGGCCAGCCTCAGGTAGTCGCCAGGAGCGGCCTCGCGCTGGGAGGCGGACCATCCTGGCCGCCAGGGGAGCCGAGAGCGCTGAAGGCAGATCGGCGCCGTGACGCCCCTGGGATCTCTGCAGCCTGCCGCGCTTGCCAGTGCGCGAGCCCTGCCCTGGAGCTCGTCCTTGGCCGATCGGCCAAAGGCTCCGCGCGGCGCATCAGGCCCGGCGAGCGACGCCAGTAGCCGGCGCCAGCTGGGCAGGTAGGCGCCTGCGAGGGTCGCCCCCCAGACCCACCCGCGCGTCGGGTGCCGCACCTTGCCCTGCAGCTCGACTCGATGCCTCGCGGCGCAGCAGCACCGCAGCGACAGGGCCCCCAGGCCCGGCAACCTGCCAGCGATGGCCCTGGGTTTCTTGAACAGGGCCCCGAACCTGCAGGAGTCGAAGAGCACCTTCGGCCACGCGAGGTGCCGCAGCTCGCGCTCCAACGCTGGCCAGCGCCACGCTCGGCCGGCAGGCGGGCCCTCGAAGGTCGCGAGATCCCGCGCCGCCTGCGCAGCCGCAGCACACGCACCGAGAAAGAGACGAGCACGCGATCCACTGGCGACGTATCTCGGTTGCCGCCGACGGGGGCCCAGCGCGTGCAGGGGGGGCCCAGGTGAACCCACCAGACCTCGCCACTCTCGATTCAATGCAGCACCAGACGCTGGATACGTGGATTTGTGAGGTCACAGCGGGGCCCCATCTTGGCATCCATAGGTGGCATCGCTCGTAGTCCTCTCTCATGAAGGGCCCCAGTGAGGCCGGCTGCCCCCGCGAAGAGCTCCAATAATACCTTCCGAGACGGCCCAGCTCGAAGAGCACCGGGAGGTTCGGGCCCCTGAGGAAAACCCCGCCCAGGACGATCACCGGGTTGGTCACGGGCTCCAGCGATATCCTCTCGAGGTACATGTGCAGCTCCCCGTGTGCGGCGTGCATAATGTGTGGCCTCCTGGGGCACCTGACGGACTTCGCGTGCTCTAAGACGGGGGCGTTGCTGTTGCTGTTCGGCACTGGCTGTCTGAGAAGCTCCATCGCGACTGACCGACAACTCAACTTGACATGAATACGAATGAGGAATAGGAACGCACAACGAATGAGATGAATAAGTTGCCTGATCATCGCGAATCTGTGATTTCCGGACCGCTGGAACTCGGCCTTGCCACACTCGATATGTTGGGCCCGCGGAGCAGCAGGCTGACAGACGGGGTCGCCGCGCGGGCGCCGACAGGGCCCCTCGCCCTCGGTAGCGCTCAGATCAGAGCTCGCCGAGATCAGCCGCTCTGCTCCCGTGGTCCGCGACATTGTAGATGCCCGGCACGTGCCTGTGCCGCCAGCGGATCTCGCAGCCCAGGCAAATCGCCGCAGCCCGCCAATATTGGGCGAGCAGCTCGAAGTTTGTGGCCCCGCCCTTGTCGAAAGCGAGGACCGACGACATGTTGTCGCACAGGCTGAGGACCTCCGTTCCGTGGAACGCGACGTCGCCTCCCGCGCGCCAGAGCGGGGCGACCGCGGCTCGGGCCTCCAAGGCGTGGATCCGCCCTGGACACCGCCAAACACCGCGGCGGCGCTCCGTCCAGCGACTCGGGTCCAGCAGCGCCTCTGCCAGCGGCTCCGGCGGGGCGCCGATCTCGAGCTCGACGCGACGCCGCCGAGCCACCGCGCGTCGAAGGCGCGGTAGGGTGGCCACAGGCAACGGATCCGAAGGATCGCTGGGCCCTGCAGCACGGCCCTCATACAGCTCGTCGCGAGGGGCGATCTCCACCTCGGAGGCGACGAAGCGCTGCCGCTCCCGCCAGCGGGTGGTGGCGAGGATCTCCCGAGGCTCCAAGCGCGCCTCGCAGTCGGCGCAGCCCCGCATCGAGCTGTCGGTCGCGAAGGTGATGTCCGACGGCGCCCTGCACAAATCGACCTCGCCAAGGAAGACCAGCCCGGCCGCGGTGGCGAGCTCGCCCAGCACGTCAGGCGCCCCACCTCGGCCAGGTCGCCACTCGCGATGCGCGTGCAGCAGGCCCCCAGAACGCTGAGGCCCGGCCGCAAGACGGAGAAGTAGCGCACGATGCGCCCCACGATCCGTCGCAGCGGCCATCGAGCCAGCCATGGTTCGCGTAGGACGTGGTGCAGCGCCAGGTAGAGCCGCCAGGCCCGCTTCGCAGTGCGCCGGAGCCGCCCCTCGCGCCCGTCCAGCACCATCCCGAGGATGACCAACCCAGGCTGGGCTCTCTCCAGCTCGTGCCAGCGCAGACCTCGCCTGTCCAGCTCGGCGGTGAGCTTGTCCAGCCAGTCGTCGATCGCCGTTGCGCCGAGCGAGACCAGGTTCCTTTTGTCGACGCATGGGGCCCTGACGACCGAGCGCCCGACGAGCGTCGGGGCCCTGGCCTTATCAAGACACCAGCCGTCGCCCAAGAGCCCCGCCGCGTCCATCGCGTCGACGAGCACCTCGTGGCAGATCCAGAGCGCCCAGCTCCAGCCCATCGGCAGGGCCGCGAAGCAAGGCCAGATGACTTCGTCCGGCGCCACAGCCACACGCCGACCCAGCTTCTCGTCGAAGATCGAATCGAGGCCGATCTCGTCCGCGGTGACCTCGACGTCGAAGCACATCGAGCTCCCCCACGAGGGGTCGGCGAACTGGTAGAAGCCGTCCATGAGGTCGACTGAGCCCGCGCAGAGGGACTCGAAGCAGCCGTCAAAGTCGGCCAGGTGCTCGTGGGAGGCGTCGTCGGCGGCGAGCAGGTTGATCGACCCCAGAGCCTCTCCTGAGGCCAGCACCGTCCTAGGCGGGAGCTTGGGCAGCTGGTTCGGCTGACGCGCGTCCACCACCATGCGGATGTCGCCGTTCTTCTTCGCCACGAAGAACGTGCTGACGCAGGCCTTCCGCCGTCGACGTCCATCAACCAGCCCGCGCTCCGCCAGGCGCCGCAGGAAGTCGATGAGTCTGAAGCCGTATCGCGGGTCACGCGGGTTGAGGAGGGGAAACACTCGGGCTCCACACAGATTCCAGCTCCAAGGCGACTTACAACAGAATGAATTTCAACCGGACGAATTTAAGCATGATGACTTTAAACCAAACAAAATAACACCGGCTGGATTAAAATCGGTGAATTAACACCGGATGGGTTAAAACCAAAGGTGTTTTTTGGTTAATTTTATACATGAAAGGGTGAATTTAAACCAGGCGAATGAAAACTGGACGAATTTAAACCGGACGAATTAAAAACTGGACGAATCAAAGCTGGACGCATTAAAACCGGACGAATGAAACACTGGATTAATTTAAACTGGACGAGTTGAAACCGGATGAATTTAAACCGGGCGAATGAAAAAGGATGAATTTAAACCGGACGAATTAAAACCGGAAGCACTTCAATCGGACGAAGTAAAACGGGAGGAGGCAGGCATGGATCAAATAGACAATGCGGGCCACACAGAGTTCCACACAATAAATGAAATCCGGAGGAATTTAAGCCGGGCGAATTCAAGCCGGATAAATTGAAACCGGACGAATTAAAACAGGATGAATTCAAACCTGGGCAAATTTAAACTGGATGAAATTAAACCGGATGAGATTAAACTGATGAAATCAAACGGGTAAAATTAAATGGATGAAATTAAACGAATGAAACTTAACGATAAAAACAAATTCGGATGACCCAGCGGGAAATCCGGCCCAAGAGGCCCCCACGAGGCCTCCGAGACGGCTCAACAGGCCTCTGGGAGGGGCCGAAAAAGCCAAAATCATTGATTAGCATTCGGTGTTTGAAGGATTCGGGCATTTGCCGATGTTGGCCTTCTGGCGGTCCAAGGGCCCCAAAGATCGCCCCCAGAGCGCCCAAGAGGCCACCAAGATGGCACCAGGATGGCCCAACACGCTTCCAAGACGGCCCTCAAAGAGCCCTAACACATCCCAAGAGGCCACAAAGACGGCAAAGATGGCATTCGAGACGATTCTGAAGCGCCCCAAGAGGGCCCAACGACGGCCCAGAGAGGCTCCCAAGACGGCTTCCGAAGGGCCAAAAGAGCCCCCCAAGACGCTCCCGATTTCCCCAAGAGGCCTAAAGGAGGCCCCCAAGAGGTCTTCGCGATGCTCCCACTACGCAGGAAGCTCAGGAGCCCCCGAGTGTGCCTCAAGAAGCTCCCAAGAGGTCCACTCCTCCTCCTCCTCCTCCTCCTCCTCATCATCATCCTTCTCTTCTCCCTCCTCCTCCTCTCCTCCTCCTTCTCCTCCTCCTCCTGCTCCTGCTCCTGCTCCTCCTCCTCCTTCTACAACTCCTCCTCTTCCTCCTCCTCCTCCTCCTCCTCCTCCTCCTCCTCCTCCTCCTTCTCGTACTCCTACTCATTGTGTCCTTCTTATTCTTAGTTTCTTCTTCCGTACGTCTTCCCCGACAGACGTCCACGACGGCTTGGGGAACACATGGTCCGATAGCGTGGCCAAACTTTCCCCTAACGTTTGGCACTTCGACGTATCCTAAAAGGTGATTCGCCGCAACACCTGCTGTTCTTGCTACTACTTACCTCCAATGGTTACTGGTGTTACCGATGCTGCAGCTCGTTTCTGCTGCCATGACCGCTACTCAAGCTGTTGTCGCTTCTGCTACCGCTGCCAACTGAACTACCACTGCTGGTGCTGGTGTTGCTGCTGCCGATCCGTCGGATATGAACATGCTACTGCAACTGCTGCCCAACATCTGGCAATCATGACTGCCGCGGATAGTACGTAGGCTGATGCCGCGACCGCTGAACATTGCCCAGTGCTTGATGTGTCCATTCATCACTCCTGCCCGTGCTCGGCTACCGCACGTAACGACGAGCCCCTTTGATTAGTTTGGGCCATCGGCGGAGGAAGAACAGGGGAACCGAACTCTATACACCGACGCGTGTTCCGGGCCTGCTCGGAAATTTGCAAACAGTGAAGCGGACCCTGGTGTGTACGGGATCCTGGTGTATACATGTTGGTTGTTTCCCCAAGGAAACGGGGAAACAAATATACACCACACCACCCCGAAGTCGTCCTCGACCCTCAGAAAATCCGGGGATTGAAGAACAGCCCGCTGCTGGCAATGCACAGGTTCCAATATCCGGAAGAAGGCGTCGCGTGCTTCTGCTCGTTGCCGGGCAGTGCCCCGAGTCCGCCGACGCGGACCGCGCGCGTCTGCACGGGCGCGCTCGTGACCGTGCCGCCCGCCGCGCCAGGGCCCAGCAGATCATGGCGCGGCGAGCGGCCGCGAGCGCCTCCCGCAGGCATCGTTGGGCTCCGGCGGAGATCTCGTCGCAGTCGTCGCCGCGAACTTCCTCTCCCTCCTCCACTGCACCCCTCCTCCCCTGCTCCTGCAAGTCCTGCTGCTCACGTCCAGGCTCCCTCCCTCCCTCCCTTCTTCTCTATCCCTCCTCTCCAACATCCTACCACTATATCGTGCTGGTCCTGCTTCTCCGGTCCGTCCTCCCTCGCTTCCTCACTCCTCCCGTCCCTCCTCTCCCTCCTGTCCCTCCCCCCTCCCTCCCTCCTCCCTCCCTCTCCATCTCTCTCTCCTCCTCCCTCCCTCCTGCTCCTCTTTCGCCTCGCTCCCTCTCTCCTGTTCCTCATCCCTCCCTCTCTCCTTCCCTCCTCCCATCCCTCCTCGAATCCCCCGCTCATTCACCCTCTTCTCCCAGCCTCGCTCTCTCCCTTACCCGAGGCCTCGCCAGGAGGCCTACGCCAGGTGGCACTCGAGCGCTGCCGCCCGGCCGCCAGCCTCCTTTCTTATTATCCTCTTCCCCTTTACTGTCCCCTCCCCTTCCTCCTCCTCCTCCATCCCTCTTCTCCTGCTGTTCGTCCTCCTTCCTTGCGCATCCTATTCTTCCAACTCCACCTCATTGTTCTCCCAATCCTGTTATTCCTCCTCGTCCCGTCGTCCTCATCAACCTCATCCTCACCACGTATCCCTTATTGTCCCTCCATAGTGAGCATCCTGCTCCTCATTCTCATCCTGGTCCCTCCGCTTCCTCACTGCTACTCCTCGTCCTTCTCCTCCTCCTCCTCCTCCTCCTCCTCCTCCTCCTCGGTTATCTTTGCCCTCCGCCGCATATTGTGCCTCTTCCTCCTCTTTCCGTTGCCCCTCCTTGCGATCTTCCGCTTCATCGTCCTCGTCGTCATCATCCTGGCCACTCCTCTTCCTGGTTCTTGGTATCTTGACCCTCCTTGCGTTTCCCCTCTCATCTGTCCATCCTCCTCTGCCGCTGTCCTCCCGAACCCTGCCAGACTCCCTCCTGACGGCGACGGCGCTGATGGCCGAGGCATGACCTTCATGCAACTGTGCGGGTACTGGGATACCTAGTTAGAAGGCTTCGCGACTTCTGCCGTCCTTCGATTCGCGCTGGAGCGGCTGCGAATTGCTCCAACCTTCCTTGGAGATCTCTGGACCTACCCGGATGTGTCTCGATGTACCCGGATGTACCTCGATGTGTCAGCATTCACCTGGACGTTTCTGGCTCGATCCCCACAAGTCGATTGGCGAAAAGCCGACACGCCCTCGGGGAATACCCCCTGGAGGAAGAAGAGACGGAGGACGATCAGCAACAGCAGGAGAGGACGGGCGGGAGGGGGGCCCCCTTGGCGGCGGCGACGTGCCACCTCGCTCCTCCTCCCGTCTCTTGCAGCCTCGACCTGGTAAGATTACGCAGGACCCAAGACCCTCACCCCCAAATCCAGGAGGAGGAGGAGGAGGGGGAGGAGGAGGAGGAGGAGGAGGAGGAGGAGGAGGAGGAGGAGGAGGAGGCGGGGGAGGAGGAGGACGGGGAGGAGGAGGAGTGGGAGGAGGAGGACGGGAAGGAGGAGAAGGAGGAGGCCCCTCGCCGAGAATCCAACGTGCTTTACAATAGAACAAACTCGGAGCCGGCGCGCTCCTGAAGCCTCCAGCTGACAGACCCCCTTCGGCTGGTTTTCAGAGCTTCCCAAGCGAGCTCAAGCTCTTATAGCCCCGCTTGTCCTCTCGACGCTTGAAACTCAAGTGGTGCCCCGTTCCCGAATTTCCTCCTCCTCCTCCTCCTCCTCCTCCTCCTCCTCAGGTCTGCAGACGAATCCCAACATCATTTGGCCCCACGCGCCTGCACACAGGGACGACAGGGCGACGTCGGGGGGCTCTGGCGTGCAGCGCGACATCGGCAGGTAACTGTGCCTCTTGAAAGCATCCTTGCACGGCCGAAGGCTCAGGCGGCGAGAGGATTGGAGGGGTAACTGAACGGAGAGCGGCGGAGTAATTGATTGGGCTGCGCACCCGTGCGAAAAGTACATTTCGCGCCTGCCCGCGTCGCATCCCATCGGCTCGAGCTCGCCGAGAATTGCAGGGAGCCCCTCGCGGCCGGTGTGGCAGGTCGGGGAGCCTCCGCCGTGCGTCTGGGCGCGGGCTGGGCGCGCCCTCGGGCCCTCCGCCCAGAGCCCCCTGAGCCTCAGTCCTCCGCCCTGCGGCGTCCTGAGGGGCCCCGGCGCCCACGTTGCCGAATCTCCCCCTTGGGTCCCGCGAGTGGCCCCCTGGGGCTCGGCGCGCGGCGGGCCCCGCTCGGGCCCCAGAGGGCCCTAAGACGGACCCAGAGGGCCCCAAGACGCCCCCCAAGAGGGTTCGAGAGGGCACCGAGTTGCCGACCGATCGTTTCAGGACGCTCGAGAAGGCCCCAGATGGCCCAAGAGGCCTCCAGGACGCCAGGAGAGGCCCCCAAGAGGCCCCCCCAAGAGGGCTCCGAAAGGCCAAAATCATGAATTGTCCTCGGGTGTTTGAAGGATTTGGGCGTTCTCGCCTTTTCGGGTCCCCGACGTTCCCAGACGGCCCCAGAGGTCTCCCAAACCGTCCCAGCACGGCCCAAGAGGGCCCCAAGACAACCCAAGAGGCGTCCACAGCCAAGAAGGCTCCAAGACGGCCCCAAAAGGGGCCCAAAAGAGGGAACGCGAACCGACAATCCGAGCGTTCCGCCTCAAGAGGCGCCCAGAACGCCCCAAGAGGCGCTTCGAAGGCCCCAAGAGCCCCCAAGAGGCCCCCAAGAGCTCCCAAGAGCCCCCCCTGAATGCCCAAAGGAGGCCCGACAAATTCCCCAAACGGCCCCCTAAGAGGCGTCCGAATTGCCTCCAAGATGTGCCCGAGATGCCTCCAAGTCCGCCCAAGACGCCTCCAAAACGGTCCAGAGGGCCCAAGAGGCCCCCAAGAGGCTTCCAATACGGCCCAAGAGGCCTCCAAGAGGGCCTCCAGGAAGGCCCGAAGAGGCCAGAATCATTGATGTTCCTTAGGTTTGTGAAGGATTTTCGCATTTGCTCTGTTTAGGCCTTCCGACGGCCCGAGACGGCCCAAGAGCCCCCAAAGATCGCCCCAAGACCGCCCAAGAGGCCTCCAAGATGACCTCAGAACGGCCCAAGAGGCCCCCATGACCGCCCCAGGATGGCCCCAAGACGGCTCAAGAGGCCCCCAAGATGCCCAAAGATGGCCACCAAGACAGCCCTGGAGCACCCCAGGAGGGCCCCCAGTCGGTCCAGAGACGCCCCCAAGACAGCTTCCGACGGCGCCAGACGGGCCAGGAGCCCACTAAGGCGGCCCAAGATGGCTCTAAGATGGCCCAAGAGTGCTCAAGAGGCCCGCCCCCAAGAGGCCTCCAAGACGGCCCAAGAGGCCTCCAAGAGGGCCTCCAAGAAGGCCCGACGAGGCCAAAACCATTGATGTCCCTTTGTTGTATGGAAGATGTTCGCTTTGCTTATTTTCGGCCGTCCGACGGCCCGAGACGGCCCAAGAGCCCCCCAAGATCGCCTCCATGACGGCCCAAGAGGCCCCCACGACGACCCCGAGACGGCCCAAGAGGCATCCAAGACGCCCAATACGGCCTCCAAGGCGGCCCTGGAGCACCCCCAGAGCGTTTCAAGTCGGCCCAGAGAGGCCCCCAAATAGCGCCAAACGGGCCAGGAGCCCACCAAGACGGCCCCAAATCGGTCTAAGATGACCCAAGACGGCTCAAGAGGCCCCCAAGAGGCCTCCAAGACGGCCCAAGAGGCCCCCCCCAAGAAAGCCCGAAGATACCAAACTCATGGATTGTTCTTCAATGTTTGAAGGATGCATTTGCGTCTGATCGGCCTTCCGACGGCCCGAGACAGCCCAAGAGCCCGGAAAGATCGCCCAAGAGGCCTCCAGGACGGTCCCAGAACGGCGATCCCAAGGGGGCCCCCAGGCGGCCCAAAAGGCCACCAAGACGCCCAAGTTGGCCTCCAAGACGGCACTTGAGCACCCCAAGAGGGTTTCAAGTCGACCCAGAGAGGCCCCCGAAACGGTTTCCGACGGCGTCGGACTTGCCAGGAATACCCTGAGACGACCAAGGAGGCCCCCGAGAAGCTCCCAAAGGCCCCGAATAGGTCCAAGGAGGCCCCCTGAGATGCCTGCAAGAGGCTCCCAAGAAGCTCCCAGGAGGCCCCAAGAGTGCCCCCAGAGGCCCCAAAGGTGCTCCCCCCCTCCTCCTCCTCCTCCTCCTCCTCCTCCTCCTCCTCCTCCTCCTCCTCCTCCTCCTCCTCCTCCCTCCTCCTCCTCCTCCTCCATTCCTCCTCCTCCTCCTCCTCCTCCTCCTCCTCCTCCTCCTCCTCTCCTCCTCCTTCTGCTCCTCCTTCTGCTCCTCCTTCTGCTCCTCCTCCTCCTCCTCGTCCTGAGATTCCCCGCCATCCTTCCCCAAGTGTTCCCCGAACGGTTTCCACAACGGTTGTGGGAACACATGGTCTGGTGGGTTGGCAGAGCTCTGGCCACAACGCTCGGACACATGGGCGATTTCAAACCCGTTGCTCCCCCACGCGTTCCCCGAAGGCTTTCCAAACCGACTCGGGGAACAACTGGCCCGATAGCTTGGCCAAGCTCTAGCCCAGATGTCGGCCACATAGGCACTTCCCCAAGGGCAGGGGGCGGTGATTCGCCGTAGGCGTCTTCGATAAGGTTATCACCGAGCCGACACCATTGAAGGGACCCTCCGTTTCTGCGCAAGGGAGAAAAACGGACTCCAACGTGCCTTGTGGCAGCAACATCTCGGATCACGTCGCTCAGTAATGATGCCGACCCTCCAGGGGAAGCTGCGGCTGGTATGCCAGCTAGGGCTGGCATGCGGGATTACCGAGGCAAGACCGTCAGACGTACAGTAAACTGTCCCGGTGTCATACCTCACGCGCGTGGGTAGAATCAACTGTGGCCAGGGTATCACATCATGGTACATCCACCAACCACTTGGGGGTGTCAAGACGATTCCTTGTGACACATCATCAAAGACAAAGAGTCGATCGATGCCACAACTTCTAGGTGCGAGTACGTAATTCACATTCCTCTGCTGACGTCCAAAACGCAAGTCGAAATCTACACAGTTCAAAATCAATATGGCGATTTCACGTTGGACTTCCTCCAGCCACGAATCGAACTTTTCTGCTCGAGGACAAAGCTGCATCGAAAACACAGGACGAAACCTTGCCGGCGCGACGGCGACATGGCGATTCCGCCCAGAAGCTCCTCCAAAACACAGGTCGAAGCGATGTCTTGATGGGACCACGGAGCGAGGCAGAGCTTTCGCGGCGCCGGTGTAGGAGGACGAGAAGGAGGAAGGGGGGAGGACGAGGAAAATGGAGGAGGGAGGCTGAGAATGAAGAGGACGAGGAAGATGACGGGGAATAGGCAGAGGACGAGAGAAAGAAAATGAAACCTCGGGGCCCTCTGCCCGCTCAACTGCTTTGACTGTCCCACCTGTTGCTCCTCCTCCTCTGCCTGCCCCCATCCTTCTTTCTTTCGGTCTTCCTTCCGAGTCCGTGTTACGACACCAGAAGCTCGTAACGCCCCTGGGGGCCTTTGCCGGCATCCTTCATCCCCCACGCTATTCTGAGGAAAGGCGGCGTGGGAACCCACTCGGCTGCGGAACGACGTCGATCCTGGATCCGCTCATGATCCTTAGGTCGGGTATGTCCCCTACAGGCATATTCTGACGGAAAAATAACAAGTACCCCAACATGCTCAAAGTGTGATTAAAACAGAACTGCAGTTCTTTTGTTTTGTTGTGTTTGTTGTTCAAAATTGTTATTTGTATAAAAAAGTGCCCTGACTATTTGTTGCGCATTTCTGAATCTACCTCCTGTACAGGGACGTCCCCGACTTAACATTAGCCTGATGGGCTAAGGCAATCAATAGGATCAAAAGCGCGCCGAGGGGGGAAGTCAATGGGGGATAGGCTTTCCTGGCAGGCGGAAGCGGATTCTCAGGAACCCTCCAGCCTTCTATCAGGTCCCGTAGACCGGGATACGATAGACCAGGACATCCAACGTCTCTCGAACCCATTTTTCTCCCAGACGGCGGCACGACACAAAAACTGCACTGCAGCACGGGCCCTCAGAGCATGCAAAACACACTCTAGATCGGGACACCGACCCAAATCCTGCAGAGCAGCAGCAACAACCTGCACTGGACGACCAACCCTGATCTTGTTTGTAAGAAAAAGGTGTGGTTTCCCCGACTTGCCAGTGCCCTGGTGAGTCTGTGTCCTGTTCTCCGGGCAGCCCGGGAAAAAGGCTTGGCAAGCTTCTCAGAAGGCCCGCGAACGCGCGGCCGGGCGACGTGATTTTGAGCGCGGGGCGCGGCGTCCGCGCCACGTGAGTTGAACGCGGGGCGCGCGTGGCCGCGCGCGTTGACCGTCGCCCCGCGCGCAGTGGACAGGCTTTCTGGGTTTTCCGAAGAGGCCCGCGAGCGCGCCTGCGGCGAACAGGCCGAGGACGACCTGCGGCGGGAGCTCCTGGGCACCTGGCCGAGCACATTCCGGAGAGGCGCAGCTTCCCCGCACGCTGGCTGGCTGTCCGCGCGTTCCCTGTGGCACGCGGCAGAAGGAGGCGGAGGAGGACGACGACGAAGAGGAATGCTATGGGAATGCTATGAGAACGGACCACTGTCCTACTATTCAAACCAATTTACCCTCCTGTGGGGTTAGTCTGAACTGTCGGAATCCCCTCCTCCCACCGCCCCTGCAAAATTGGGCGGCTCCCGTCGAAAAGCCTCAGCACCTCTCCGAACTTCCCGTCTGGCCTGCGCGGCGGTCCTTGCCTCCGCTGGGACGGACGGTGGGGGAGGGGCGGGGGAGGAACCCCCCGGCGCAGCACCTTCAGTAGACGACCGACCGACGAGAGACGACACCACTCTCTCACGATCTCGCGCCGCCATTGCTTCCACAACGGCTTGTGGGGGCCCTTCTCTCCTAGGGTATGTACCCTTACGAATTCGCGCCAACTTCTCTGACCCCTTACGGGTCATCCCCTCGCAACGCTTCTTGATGTGTCTATCATCTACCGTCGCGAAGCGACCACACTTGCTGCAGGCATGCATAAACCATTTGTCCACAAAAACATCGAGAGGGTGTCATGAAACTCGAGGGCCCCCGCCACGAACCTACGGGGGGCCTGCTGCACCAGGGGGCCGACTTCCCTCAGGGAGGGCCCTGCCTGCGCAAGGGGTGGCCGCAAACTTGAGCAGCCTCGAGCCTGGCACCACCTGGTCGCACACGGTACACCTCCAGCCCGTGCCCGCCTTCTCGATGCGGTGGGCCGACTCTCGGACCGCTCGTACTCTCATGTTGGCGGGCAAACGCTTTGCGACAGCCTTGCGTTCACCCTTCGCCTGCAATTCGGCATTCGCTGAATCGTCCAGCGCTCTTCTCGCGCGGCGTCGCGCGAAACAGGCGATGGCATCGATCCTGTCAGTCTGCGAGTCTTCCCCCGCCCGCCCAAACACCCAAGCCAGCTCCGCCCCCTCCCTCGCCCAAATATCCGCCGCTGCGTTGTCTGCCGCAGTCTCAAGCTGTCGGTCTGTCACCAGCAGCTCAGGGGATTCATCTGCATGAGAGGGAGCCCACTGTACTTCGACAGTGGCGGTGTCTGGCCTGAGACGCCAGGCCTCTCGGGCCCTGGTCCAGAGGTCCTCATTAGCCCCTGTCGGGCTGGGGTGCTCCATCTTTCGGCGCCACTTCCGAACTACCGACAAGTGGTCAGTTATAAACAGAAACGCACCAAGAATCTCCTCGAAAGCCAAACAAGAAGCCTGGATCTCGGAGCGCGGGACGGTCTGGCGGCCTCCAAGCAGGGGACGAGACAACGCTGCTGCAATATCAACTCACCCTGGGACCATTTCAGGGAGCAAATAGCGGACCCGCAACGCCGTCGTCTGGGGTCATCAAAAAATAGCCCCCCCCGAACCGTCGCCGTAAACCTTTTAAATCCCGTCGCTTCCTCGAGAGGCCTCAAAGACATCCCTCCCCCCCAGCCTAAGCTCCCGCCCCTTCCAGCCGCCCATCATCGAAGAGGGGGTGAGTGAGGCGAGTAGGAGGGAGACCGCGCAGCCATAAGGCTGGCTCTGCTTCTGCTTGCGCTAGTGCTGCCGCTACTAGAGGCTCGCTGTTACTATAATCATCGTGCTCAGTGTTCCTAGAACATTCCCAAACTCGGTGCTTCAAAGTTTCTGGGGCTGCTTTACATCTCGGGCAATCTGTTGTGACCTGCTATCATTTTTCCCTGCATCGGACTCGCGGCCACTGGCCGCCCGCGACCACCGTCACGTTGAGCGACAGCTGGTCGAGCATCCCCTTGCGCTCGAACCGCCGCTGCTCCATGACGATGGGCCACAGGTCGCCACCCTCCTGCAGGTTGTCGCCGAACTCGTGCTTGGCGGCCTCCGTCCACAAGTCTCTCCTCAGGTCGCCCTTCAAGTCGTCCAGCAGCTCCTGGAAGCAGCCCGTGGCGACAAAGGTGCCGTCCTCGGAGGTCGGCAGCTCCCACATCTCCATCTCTTCAGGTCCAGGGCGATGCCATCGAGTCGCCGTCGTAGGTATCCATCCTGCATCCATCAGCGTGGCCATGAGAGCGCCTGTAGGTCCTCGTACAGCTCGCCAACGCTTCGTCCTTGCGAAGTCCCAGCTCCATGCCCAGCGTGGTCGTGAGACAGCGTCCTCCTGCACTGCCTCCAGCCACTTTGCCAGCCTGGCGACGTAGCTGTGTGATCTCCTGCTTGGACATTCCAAAGGTCTGCTGCCCGTATATCGCCTGCGGCAGCGCACCCACGTTGTAGAGGCCCTTGGACTCCTTCTTCAGCGCTGCAATCCTCCTGAGCTTGACAATCTTGGCGAACCTCTTGTGTGCCTTGACTTGCCTCTGCTTACTCTTCGTCGTAACCCTTATCCGTCCGCCAGCAGTGTCAAGCCCCAGGTCCGTTGCCACCCCCGTAGCTTTAGCTGGTATACATCGCCGTCGTAATCGCTGCGCTGCCTTCTTCACTTGTACCGGAGGAGGAGGAGGAGGAGGAGGAGGAGGAGGAGGAGGAGGGGGAGGAGGAGGAGGGGGAGGGGAGGAGGAGGAGGAGGAGGAAGAGGAGGAGGAAGAGGAGACGACGACGAGGAGGACGAAGAGGGGGAGGAGGAGGAGGAGGACGAAGAGGACGGGGACGAGGAAGAGGAGGTGGGGCAGGATGCTCTGCTCACCCGAACGCGCTCCTCGGCGTCCTCCGCGGGCACGCCGCCCGCCCCGTCGCCGCTGCCCGAAGAGCCACCCGCGCCTCCTCTCGCGCGCCCAGGGCGGCGGGTGGGGGGCGGGGTGGTGCGGGAGCGGTGGTGCGGTCCCGGCATTCCCATAGGCCTACAGTCGGACTTGATTGGAGAGTACACGCGAGAGGACACAAGACCCTTCCGGGGGCCACGTTGCCACAGAAATGAAGGAGGCACGGGCCGCGAGACACAGGACACAAAGGTACCCTTGATTTGGCAGGCCGACTGTACCACGACATGTTCTTAGAACCCCAGAGTGCCCCAAGGACAGAAGCAATGTTCTTAGAACGTCAGTCCGATGTGTGAAACAAAAACAGGCCCAGCCAGCAATGTTTTGTGAACACTTCGCGCAAACCACAAAAGGTTCTTAGAACATTATCCGGTGGGACTTTAGGCGGGCAAGGACGCTTCGCCACTGCTTGAGTGGTGGTGCGGGATGAGGTGCGCTGGTAAATCAACTGTGAAGTCGATCTCCTACTCGAAACTGGGAGGTCGAGAGAGAGATGACGGGCTGGCTGCGTCCTGGGGCCGGCTCCCTGCTGCCCCGCCTCCCTGACCCTCTGCTCCCTCCGCTCGCCCGGCCATCCGACGCTGACCCCACTTTCGCTCTCACTATCGATCTGCCTATCGATCTCACGATCTCACCATCGATCTGACGATCCATCTCGCTATTGATCCCACGATCGTTCCCACAACCGATCACACTGTCGATCTCCCCATCGATCTCACTCGATCGATCTCATTCGATCGACCTCACTATCTATCCCGCTACCGATCACATTACCAATGTCACTGTCCATCTGTGCCTCTCACTATTCCCACACGGTCGATCTGGCAATCGAGCTCACTATCCCTCAATCGCTCTCACCACGATCCCCACCATCGATCTCACGTTCGATCTGGCGATCGATCTCACTATAGATATTACAATCGATCTCACTACCGATCCCACTATCACTGTCAATATCGGCCTGACTGTACATATATGTATAAATATAAATATCAAGATCCATCTCACTATCCATCTCACTCGATCGATCACGATCCGTCTCACGGTCGATGTCAGAATGAATCGCACGATCGATTGCACTATAGATCACAATAAACCTCTCACGATCAGCCTCGCAATCGATCTCACTGTCGATCCCACAAATCGATATCAGTATCGACCTCGCTATCGATCTCACTACCGACTGGACGATCGATCTCACCATCGACATCACTGTAGATCTCGCTATCGATCTCACTCCCGATCGCACTATCGATCTGACGATCGATCTCACTATGTTTACCACTATCAAATTTAACATCGATCTGACGATCGATCCCACTATCGATCCAAGTATCGCTATCATGATCGATCTCACGATTGATCTCGCGATCCAATTCAGCCGATCGATCCCAAGATCCATCTCACTATCGATCTCAGAGTCGCTCTTACTGGCGATCTGACTATCGATCTCATTACTGGTCCTCTCCTGCTCTCCATTCCACTCACGATCCCAGCATCGATCGCACGATCGATCACACTATCGATCGCACTATCCATCTCGCCCGATCGAACTCACTCGATCCATATCCGAACAATCTCACAAAGAATCGCACGATCGATCTCACTGTAGACCTGACTCGCCCTCTCACGATCGATCACACAATTGACCTGACTATCCCCCTCACTATCGACATCGCTATTCATCTCACGATCGACATTACGATCGATCTCACTATCGATACCACTGTAGACGACACGATCAATCACACGATCGATCTCACCATCGCTCTTACTATGGACCTGACGATCGATTGCACTATCGGTCCCACTATCGATCTCACCATCGACTTCACAATCGATATCACGATCGGTCCACTTATAGATCTCACTAGCGACCTCACTAACGATCTCACTATCGATCTCACTACCGAGCCCACTATCCATCTCACTCAATTGATCTCACCATCCACACAACTGTCGATCTCGCAATGAATCTCGCGATCGACCTCACTAAAGATCTGAGTGCCCCTCTCACGATCGATCTCACCATCGATCTAGCGATCCGTCTGAATATCGATTTCGCTATCGATCTCGGAATCGATCTCACGATCGATATGACGAACGATCTCGTGGATACCACTTAATATATCACGAACGATCGCACTACCGATCTAACTGCCGCTCTCACTGTCGAGCCGCTCATCGATCGCACTATCGATCGCACCATCGATATGAGGACTGATACCACTACCGATCACACAATCAATCCCACTATCGATCTCACGATCGACTTCACTAGAGACCTCACTATCCATCTCACTCGATCAATACCACTGAAGATCTCACTATCCATATCACGATTGATCTCGGGATCGATCTGATAATCAATCTCATTATTGGTCCCACGGTCGGTCTCACTGTCGATCCCACGATCCATCTCACTACCGATCTCACTATCGATCCCGCAATCGATCTACTCATCGATATAACATTCGATATCACGGTAAACCTCGCTATCCATCTCACTCGATCGACCTCACTTTACATCGCACTATCGATACGACAATCAGAATCACGATCTATCACACTATGCACTATAGATCTCACTTTCCCTCTCACGATCGGTCTCACAAAAATCTGAGTATCGACATCACTTCACTATCGCTCTCACGAAGATTACCGTCGATCCCATTGTAAGTTCTGCCATCGCTCAAACGATCGACGTGACTATCGATCTGACTACGGATCTCACTATAGGCCTCACGATCGATACCACCGTCGATCTGACGATCGATCTCTGTATCGATCCCACGATCGGTCCCACTACCGATCTCACTATCGATCTCACTACCGATCCCACTTTCCATCTCACTGTCCATCTCACTCGATCAATCTCGCTATCCATATTACCACCGGTCTCACTATGAATCCCACTATCGACCTCACTTTCCTCTCACGATCCCTCTCACGATCTATCTGACAATCGATCTAACTACCCCTCTCACCACTCATTATCCCTTCCAGTAGAGATCGTACGATCGACCTCACTACCGATCTCACTACCGATCTGTCGATCGATCTCATTATCGATCTCAAGATCGATCTCACTATCGCTCTCGCTATCGATCCGACTATCGGACTCACTATCGGTCTCACTATCGATCTCACCATCGACCTGACGATCGATCCCACTATCGATCCCACCATCAATCGCACCATCGATCTTACTATCGATCGCACTATCGGTCTCACTATCGATCCCACTATCCATGTGACAATGCATGTCACAATCCATCTCACTATCGATCTCACTGTTCATCGATCTCACTATCGATCCCACTATTGATCTCACTGTCGACACCATGGGACACCGCGCCACGGGACACCACGGGCCACTGCGGGACACCACGGAACACCCCGGGACACCATCGGAACACCACGGCGGGACATCCCCGGCCACCGCTTGCCAATCTGGGAGCGCGGTCATTTGGCCCGGCGGCGGTCTCGCAAATGAGGGTTCATTCCTCTCGCCTGCCCACGCAGCGTCGCCTCGCCCGCACGCACGGCACTAAAACGAAACCAAAACCGATTCCCCGGAGGGGGGCTCCCTGTTTCACTGCGATCTCACCCCCTTCACGGTCACGAGCATGACAAAAACGAAGAGGGGGACGGGTTTCATCAGCCCTTCGCTAAACAGCATGCTTGGGCTTAGCATTCGGATGCATACATCCACGTCTGCGCAGCCTGACGGCCACAAACATAATAGCAATAAGCAGCATAACAGGGCCCAACAGTACAACGCTGAGCTCAGCGGCTGCGCTCAATATGAGAACTCCTACACGTACAATTCACAGCGGCACACATGGCCACCAGCAGAACGACGATGAGCAACACGACGTGTTCCAGCAACGCGATGCCCACTATCAGGCTCCAACACAGGGCCCGCTTTCGGAAACCTCGTACTGATCGGCCAGGGGCCGATCAGTTACGATGTTGCTGACCGCCACGCTCGCTAGCCAGAGCCCTGGAACGCCATGACCACCAAGCGCCATGCAGCAAACATTTCACTCCAATGATTGCCGCTGAACCCGGGCCCGTTGATGGGTCAGCAGCAGCCGCCACGCCCGCCGACCAGGGCCCCCGAATGGCACGCCGCACAACTGTACAGCAACTGGCAAAACGATACAAGGATTCCGAGCCGGAACAGCGGCGACCGTCGCGCGCGTCCGCCAAGGACCCAGGATTCCACACCGCCACACCCAGCATCTGCGCAGCAACAGGCAGACAGATGCAACGGTTCTGGGGCCAGGCCTCTAGCTTCGGCGGCGAGCGAGGGGTGGAAGTGAGAAGGAGAAGGCCTTCCCAGAAGGCGGCTGAACTTCTTTTGGCAGGACAGAAAGCCGGCACATACACCAAGAAAGCTATGTGCTTCATGAAAATTAGACTTGCGATTTGGACCAGCGTGAGCCCGTCCTGGCCTTCGGAATCGCGGAGGGGACTGGGGAGAGGGGAAAGGAAACATCGAGCAGCGCAGCGCGCAGGAGGGAGGGCAGGAAACAACAAGTGCAGACGAAAGGCGAAGTTGGCGGGCGTTCTCGGGAGAGGGGGGACCAGAAGGAAAAATGCTGATTCCTCCATGACCCAAGCCTCCCACTCCACCGCCGCCGTCCTCCGCGCCTCCCCCCACCCGTTTGGCCCCCCTCCGCGTCTCTTCCCCCTCCTCCCACCCGCCCCCTGCCCGCCCCCTGTCGCATCCCTGACACTCTGCAAGCCCGAGGCGGGCACCCGACGATTCCGATTCCACCGCCTACCACCCGCGCCGGGGGGGGGGGGGGGCTGGCTTGCGCGGCAAGGGACCGAGAACGTGGCGCGCTCTGAACCCTGGCCCGCAGGCCCTGGCCAACTTCCGAAGTCGTCGAGAGGCTCCGCTCCACCCGCCGTTCCAGCGGGGGCCTTGGTGCTGGTGTCGGCTTTCCAATGTTGCCGGGGACGAGAAGTTGGCACCGGCACCAAGACCCCGCTGGAAAAGTTGGGGATCCTTTCCGCAGAGCGGCCTAGCGGAGCCCGCAAAACGTGAGGTGGCTCGCACTGCTCGCCGAATTCACAGGCCGTGGGGCTCGCAGAATCAAAAAACGCCCCATGGGGCCCATGGCAACCCAGGGGCCTGCGGGGCTGCCATGGCCCGCGGGGTTCGCAAGGCCCAGAGGCCTATGGGGTCCGCGCGGCTCGCGGGGCTCGCGCGGCGCATTGAGCCAATGCGCGTTGCGGTGCCCATGTGGCCAAGGAAACCTTTCTGGGACTTGTGGGGTTCATGGGGCTGGCGAGGTTGGAAATCCTAGAAAGTTCATTGGAGGAACTGGAGAAAGCCCGCGCTGCTCCCACGCGCGCAGGGCTGACATTCATCGACGCGGGACACGTGAGCCCGAAGACTCGGGCGACGACATTCAGCAGAGGCTATATTTTTTTCCAGAGGGGATCTTGGTGTCGGTGTCGGGGTCCGGTGCCCTGATATTTGAGGCGCTCGCGCTCGCGCCTTCTGAGAAGCTTTCTGCGTCTTCGGGAAAAGCTGAAGATACTTCTCAGAAGGCTGGGGAACTTCCGAGCCTTTTGAGAAGGCCCGCATCTTCTCATTTCCCCTTCGCACTCGCCGCCGATGGCTGGGGCAGCGGCAACCGCCGTGCTCGCCAGCCAGGGCCCTGGAAATCCATACAGGGCAGATGCACAGCAGCACGCACATCGAACCAACGTTGCCGAACATGGGCCCCTGCCTATTTCATCATCGGCCTCCACGCTTGCCAGCCAGGCCCTCAGATTCACTGTTGGATGGGACCGAAGCATGCATGCTTCCGCGTCTCCCGCTGATTTCCGCGGAAACCTTCCATTGACTCCGATGCGTTCCCATCCTTCACACGCCCCATCTTTCCCCCCGACTCACCTGGCAAAACAAATACATTAGCAAGACTGTGCTGACGAATTGCCCCCTCGTCATCCTCACCCCGTGGCGCGTGTGGCGTGAGACCTCCACGTGGACCGCCTGCAAAAAAAACACGGTGAAGATTGGTCCAGATTCGGCACCTTTCTCAATTTCATTCCGGATGTTCTTTCTTCGTTTGTTATTGTTTATTTGTTTATTAAATGTTTGTTGTTCTCTCTCTCTCTCTCTTTTACAAGCCTTTGTCCACGTGGTTTTGCGAGGAAGCCGCGGAACTCCATCCTCTTCGTTTTCTGCCCCATAGTGCCTTCCTCCTCCACCTCCTCATGTTCCTACCCAAACCTCTTTCCAGCAGGACACTCCTCATCCCTGTCCTAATACGACTCCCTCTCTGCTTGTCTCCGCCCCGCCTTCTCCGTCTCCTGGTCTTCTTAGCCTCATTACGTTTTCTCCTCCTCCTCCTCCTCCTCCTCCTACTACTCCCCCTTCTCGTCGTCCTCCTCTTCCTCCTCCTCCTCCTCCTCCTCCTCCTCCATGGCCTTCTCATCTTCCTGGTTGTCTCCTCCCTCCGTTACTCCATCATTCCTGACTCGTGTTCCCACCCCCCTCCTTGATTTCGCTCCTCCTCCTCCCTCCTCCTCCTCCTGCTCCTCCCAGGTATCCTCTTCCTGCTCTCGCCTCCCCTCCTGCAACCCTCCCGGCATCCCTCCCTCCTGGTCATTCGTTCTCTGCTGGTTTTCTTTCTGTTTGTCCTCCTTGCTTCGCCCGTTCTCTGTCCTTCCTGTCTCGTCCTCTCCTTTTTGGCGCGACAAGGTAAGCATAAGGGCGAAGGCAAGAAAGCCCAGAGACCGCCGACCCACGTTGCAGGCTTGAGAGGGCACGTGGCATGTTCGATACCACCCTTTCCCATGATTCCATCTCCCCCACGAGCCCAACATGCCATGGAACAAAAGGACAACGAGCCTGCAATCGCACCTCACACGCCATCATGGTTTCCCAGAGTACCCTGCCCAGCTCCGAGGGGCGCCCGACATGACCAAAAAGGTCCCCAAGATGGCGGCACTACGGGCCCGTGCATTCATGCCCCATTGGTCGCAATGGTTTACACCACAATCGCAAGGAGGGCGTTGTTTTCTGGGGGGCGGTGGAATGGCGTAAGCCGCTTGAGTCATCACAGACAACTCTGCTTCTCCGCCATTAGCCCCCGCAATAGGCACATAGAAAGACGGCCCGCCACCATTGGAGCGAGACGCCATGGAAAGTCATCCGGGTGGTGTGGTTCCCCCCTTCTCGCTCGAGACATTTCCCAGTTCCAGCTCGGGGAGGCATCGTGGACCCCTTCGTTGGAGGTGGCTCCCCTGGTGGTGGTGGTGGTGAAACCTCTCCTGCCTGCGACGCACGCAGCGAGTAGTCGGCGCCACGAGAGCAATGCCAACTTGTATCTAGCCCCCTGGAGATCTAACGCTGGACATTGGGACTTCTCAGCGAGCCAGATCTTCGCCTGGGCCCTGGGGGTCCAGGATCAAAACGAGGAGAAGGACGACGGAGATCGGAGGACGTGGAGGGATGTGGAGTAAGGAGTATCAATTATCAAGCTTCCAAGTCTACGAGCAAGCGGACCAGTAGGCAGATTTCGGGTTTGCCGAATCTGTCTTTGGAGCACGCCATCTGCTTGGGTGTAACACCAAGTCGCACCCTGCTTACGGAGGGTGATGGGGCGAGCAGGCCCTGTCTACCAGTCCCAAGGAGGAGCGAAGGAAGGAGGGAGGCGGAGGGAGGAGGACGGAGGGGGATGAGAGGGAGGAGAGGGAGGCCAAGGCGGAGGAGGAGGAGGAGGAGGGCGGGGGAGGGAGGAGGGAGGAGGGAGGAGGGCCCCGCGCCGCGCCCTGACTGCGCCCCACCTCTGCCTGCCGCGCGCCGCCAGGGAGCGGACGCCGAGCGGGTCCCGCCCGAGCGCAGCCGAGGTGCCGCTCCGCCACCGCCGCGCAGTGCCGGCGGCCCTCCAGGTGGTCACGCATGCGCACGGGGGACGACAGCGCCGCGCCGCAGATGCAGCAGCGCTTCACGCCCACGGGGGGCGGCACCTTCGGGGACGGGGGCCGTGGGAGGCACCTCTGGTGTACCGGCGATGCGGAGACCAGCGGCGGAGCAAAGCAACGACGAACGACACAGGGGCGACGACGGCGACGGCGACAACGACGACAATGGGGGATGGGACGCAGAATAAGATACTGGTACTATGTGTCCTACTCGTAGGCGTGCCTCCGACCCGAACATAAGACAAGAGCATCTTGTAATATACTGTTTCTGGAGCGGTGTGGCCAACATGCGCCCGCGACGGAGCTTGTACTAGAAGAGTTCACGACAAGCGCGTCGCCTCTGGGGGGGGACGCACGCATAGTGTTAGTATGTTGGGGTGGCGGCGAGGGGAAGGGGGTATGGACGAAGCGGGGGAGCGAGCGACAGGGCGCAACAGGGAGCGACAGGACAGAAGACACGAGCGCTTGCGTAATCCTGCTGCTCGAGCTGCTTTTCCTGATAGGCCTGCTTTCCATCACCACCTTCATTGGAGGGGGGAAGGAGGTGGAGGACGAGGAGGAGGAGGAGGAGGTCCCATGAGGCGCATTGGAGGGCGTCATCGAAAGCAGCAGAGCAGTGCCTGCAGCTGCTGTCACCGTGGGGGGTCCTGGCGCCTGAAGCAGGAGGTCCTATGAGGCGGCCCGGAGGGGGCAACGGATCTGGAGAGCCCGAGGGAGCCCGACGGGGAAGGACGACGGTGGGTGGACTAAAAGTGTCCACACGTGTCTCGCCAATACCTTGGGTTACCAAAGCACTTCGGACCAGAATGTATATCCCCCTTCCCCAGAAATCAAAGTTGACGGGTGTGGGCGGTAGGCCGCAGGCCAGGGACAAAATGAGGACACTTCAACTTTGGTTTCGGGGGGGAGGGGTGCGAAGCAATGGCATTTCGCAGTTGTGGTGGTCATCATGATGTATCGTCTTCCCGCCATGGGCGTGGACACTTTTTGTCCGGGCACCAGAGGACGCAGGCCCCCACCCCCCCCCCTCCTCGACCCCCGCCCTCGCAAGACCCACCACTTGTCAGCCCGTGCATTTGGGCATCGTTGAATCGATCCCCATCCCCACCAGCGTGGGCTGGGCCCCACTGGCCGATTTACCCCCCCCAGATGGGGATATAGGCCGTTCCCTTCGGGTCTCGAGGGGTGTATCCCCAACTGGGGGGGTAATTTGGTGGGGTTCTCGAAGTGGATGGAAATTGGGGATGGGTGTCGGTTAAACGACACTGAGCATTGGATCTTCAATGTGCGACCCGCTTCTGGAATCCTCGGCTTTCAAGGCGAGTGAAGGCATCTGGGTGGCCAGCTGGTGGGGCGGTACTGCAGCACCTCCGGGGAATCAACGACGCATCGCCGAGCGAGCAGCAACACGGACGCGCTGACCGCAGTTCATCGTTTGGCGACCAAGCACCACCATCAAGAAAGCGATGCAACCTGACCATCTCTAGCGCGAATCTCCCAGAGTTGATATATCGACGGCTCGCAACCACACTTACAGTCAAGTCGCATAACAAGGATGCGCGGTAAGGGCGCAAGGGCCTTAACGGGCCATGCGGGCGTTTTCGAATGGGGTTCGCCAGCGAAAGTCTCCAAGGATTGGCCGAAGGGGGAAGGATTCAGGGGTACCATTGAAAATTTGCGCATCTTTACTATGCGACTTCACTGTTGTGGATCGACCGCTCGCAAGCAAACTTACGAGTCAAATCGAAGATCCGTAAATCGCAAGACGGGTAATCATTGCAGCCGCCGCCCAAAAAAAGCAGACAGAGGCGAAACGAGCAGCGACAACCACCTTGCCGCTGGGGGGAGTACGTCACAGCGGAAGCGCCGATAGGACTCCAGGCCGAATCCGATTACGTGTGCGCAGCTCCTGGATGGAACCCATGCGCAAGTGCAAGCTGCAAAGTTAGGAAGAAACCAAGACGAGGACAAAATCAAATGAGGATAGGCCGAGACTTTCTTAGATCTGGCTGCTGGAACGCTCTGAGAGCGTTCCCGAACGCTCTGGAACGGATCTCTCCTCATCCCAGCCCCGCCCGAAAAGTGGCGGCCGAGCTTCGACCTCAGATGCCGAAGCGAGAGGAAGAGAAATGTACGCGGGCAGTTGCATGCAATAAAAATGTCGCGCACCTGGCGCGAAGCCTCTTGAAGAGCCGATGTCCACCTGGCTGGCAATCGGAATCCACAAGTACGCAGGCATCTTCAAGCTCAGTGAGGAAGATGAGCCAGGAATCACAGTAACATGAGAGGAACGCCGCGGAAGCCACGGGCACTGTGGTCGCCACTTCCCGAATTTCATGTCGACTGATAAGAACGATGCTCACCTCCTGCGAGAGACGCCACGCCCCACCACATCCTTACGAAGAGAAAGACGTCCGCCACGAAACTCATATGTCATCTCCGCCTCTTCCTCTTTCTGTACCTCCTCCTCCACTCCGATCATCATCCTCCTCCTCTCTGTCCCCCTGCACGCCACTGTGCCTTGACACCCCCGCCGGTCCGAGGGGCTCAATGATGCAAGAGAGCGGGCAGCTCTGGACCCCTGAATTACACGTTCATTCGTCTTGAACATAGCACCTTGCGTTTGGGTTCAGAATACGTGCAGCCAAAGCCACTACTCAGAACTGGTCGGCCTCAGCTCACAACAGCACGCCACATTTCTGGTGAAGTCATTGGGGGTACGATGTGCCAGCCCCGATCGTTCACCCCGTGCGTGCAGCTGCTGGGTGCTCAGAGACTGGCCAGCTAAGTGGATCTGCGTACTAGAGGAGGACAAGCCAGGCATGCCAAGGGAAGCCAGGCCAGGACAAGCACACCAAGCAACCATCTACAGGGGCTGTAGACATGCTGCCCGCACGCATGCAGAAATCAAGCCGTCAGTGCAAAACGATGCATGTAAAAAGGCATCGTTAGGATCCAAGGTGTATTTCGAGCCAGACAGGGGACAATCAAGACGACTGCCGCTACACGAGAAACGCGCTAGACGGCGGGATACGCGCTGAAGACATTTTTTCAATTTCCCAAGCGAGCTGGAAGCACCATATCTGCATTGAAGCCGTGTGCAGGGGGGCCCTCGGGAAAACACAGAGTCCCTCCACGAACGAACGAGAATCGTGCGAGAGGAGGCACTCTGCAGCAGTAGCGGGCATTCACCCAGCAGGCCCGACCACAGACTTCTGATCGGTGGAGCCGTGTGCGGGCCCCTCGCATCGCCCGCGAAGGCAGATGACGCGCACATCGAAAAACGCTCGGCGGCTCCTCTCGGGGCGTGCCCCATTCACGCTTCTGCTCCTTCTGTCCCTTCCCTCCATACCTTCTCGTGCTCCTCCTGTGCTCCTCGCCCACCTCAACTCAACATCTGTCACACCTCCATGCTCTACTCTTTCTCGCTATTTTCATTCATCCTATGCTTCTCCTCCCCATCAACTCAAAATTTGTCACACCTACTCTCTCTCTCTCTCTCTCGCCCCTTACAAGAACGAGCCTCGAAGGCATGATACATATGCTACCTATACGACCGCCCCTCGGGTGATAAGGAGGTTGGGGAGAGGGACAGGAAGAACCAGCGGATGGCAAATGCGATGGGTGTGTTGATGACGATGCTGGTGACGCGCCCTCGAGTTAGCGACGGCGCATGATGACGATGTTGCGCTGCCATGTAATGTCACTATCGAGCCCGCCTTCGATTTCACTCGATCGATCCCACTATCGACCTCACGGCCAGTCTCAGTACCAATGGGTTCAATGATCGATCCTACAGGGGAAATCGCGCGTCTCCGCGAGATCTGCACGACCCAGGGGACGTCGCCTGTCGCCTCCCTGCGCATCCGACAGGGCGAGCAGAACCATTGTCACAATCAATAGCACTGTCGATCTCACCTTTGCTCGCACTATCCGCCCCACTGTAGCGATGTAATTCTCGATCCCCCTATCGACTTCACTATCAATACCAAAGCGGGATACCCCACCGCCCGCCCACCGCCGTCGGAACATCGAGACACCAACGGCATGCCACAGGACACCACGGCGGGACACCCCGGGCCACCGCGCGCCCACAGGGGTTGGAGAGGCGGTCCACTGCATCCGAATCGCCCCATCGACGGCGGAGTCATTCCTCTCGCGCGCCCACGCAGCTTCGCCTCGCCCGCGCGCGCGACACGAACACGAAACCGAAACGATTTCCCGGTAGGGGGCTCTCCGTTCCACTGCGATGTCACTCCCCAACCTTCGATATTGTATGCTATCTTGCCATTCGCCTCAGACGTGGACTACCAAGTCTACAGCCCCCTTCGAGTAACACACGCACTTCGAGTCGTGGCTGACGCCGATGCACTCTGTTTCCGACGGGAGCCTCGGGCAGTCTCCGCCTTAGAATCACAATCCCCGCTCCACATCTAAACCCTCCTCCGCCTCGTCCTCGATCCAAATTCCTCCTCCTCGGTCCACCTCCCAATCCTCGATCTCTGACCCGGTCCCGATCCCGATCCTGCAGATCTCTGGCCCGGCCCCGCTCTACTGATCGAGGGACCGAACGGCCGCCCCGATCCCCGATCGACCAGCGGAGTCGGCTAGGATCACAGCGCCCCGCCCAGAGCACCCGATCGGTGGACCAAAGATCAGAGGAGGGTCAGTTGAGAAACCGGCGGTGCTACCGAACGAGGAGGGGGAGGAAGAAGAGGAAAGGGATGATGATAATGATGGTGGTGCTGATGATGGTGATGGCGATGATGGTGACGACGATGATGGTGGTGATGATGCTGGCGATGATGACGTTGGTGATGATGATAATGCTGATGATACAAATGATGATGGTGATGCTGATGAAGATGATGATGATGCTGCTGATGATGATGTTGATGATGCTGATGATGATGATGCTGATGATGATGCTGCTGATGATGGTGATGGTGATGATGTTGTTGATGCTGATGATGATGATTATGAAGAATATGATGATGATGATGATGATGCTAATGAGGATGATGATGAAGAAAAGGAGGAGAACTCGACTCGACTCGAAAGCACTTGGGGGCGATCCACCAGCCGGGTTACTTCCGCACGCTCGTCCTGCGTGCCCTCAATATGGAGGCTGAGGCAACATAATACAAATATGGGACCGTGCAACAGCAAAAGATTTCCGTACCCTGTGCGGCGAAACTCGCCATCCTCTCAGTTACTTAAAATCGTGACCCTGCTGCGGTCACATAACCGCTGGGCCGCGAGGAACGCATCGGCGGGGAAAGCCCGCCGCAGCGCCCCCGCTGGCACTAGCAGCGCTCTCAGGTTTGCTTGCCCTTCCCCCTGCACCCCCGCTCGCGACGACGACGGCTCCCCCCCTTCCCCTTCTCAGTCGAGAGTGCCACCAAAAAGTTATGGCCAGCTGGCGCGGCTGGCGACACCACGCCTCTCGCGAGCAGCTCACGATATCGCACGCTGTCTCTGAACGGCGGCGGCGCACTCACTTGCTGCGACGCTGCAGCCTGTTTATGATATGCCTCTCCAGCGGCTACCACGGAGCGAATCCGACTATCTGCGCTGCCTTCAGATCCGCCAAGGCCGCGCCCGGGAACCAGTTCACCTCCGAGCTGAGCGGGTTCGGCCCCAAAGCGCACTGCAGCCTGACCGCGTCCTCCATCTTCTTTGGTCCTGGCCCGCGTAGCGCCCTCACCGCGAAGTGGCGGATCATGCCCACGTACTGCTTCGACTTCTCCTTCAGGTGCGGATTGAAATGCTCCTCTACCTTCTGCTGGATCTCCTCTGGCGTCATCAACAAGAGCGCCCTCGTTGCCATGAAGAACACGGTGGTAAACGGCGGCCCTGGCGTCGACAAGCCCGCATCCTCGCCCTCCGCCTTTCGGTCGCGAAGTGCCTTGACCATGTCCTCGTAGAACTTGTTTGCGGCCAGTCCCGCTCGGTACGACTCCGCGGGACTGAGGTAGGTCGACAGCGCCATGGACGAGCACAGCACCTGCTCGCGTGCGGTGTCGGTGGGTAGGATGACGACCTTTGTCGCGAGGCTGCCGTTGTCCTCGCCCTCGCTCATGCCCTTCATCTCTTTCTGTCTTTTCTGCTCGCCGTCGGGCGCCCCGTCGGCCTTCCTCTTCGTCGCCAGTAGGACTCCCGCCAGCGGTGGAACCGAATCCTCTCCGACCATGCCCGCGCCCACATCGATGAGGAGGGGCGCGCAGCAAATGCGAACGAGCGTGTAGGTTATATGCACGAAGACAACGATGTTCTGAGCCACAAACTCTACAGACCAGCACACTTGGAACCACGAGCTCAGTTATCGCCGACGCTTTGTTTCGAAGACATCGTCCATGAAGTAGGGCCCGCTCCAAATGTTTGCACGCCGTAAGGCGCTCACCAAATTCTTCCTCGCATACTGCACATTGATTCGCGAGCGTGAGAGCATGAGAGAGCTTAACACTGTTATGCGCAGTACGTACATGATTTGCTAGCCCAGGCCTGCAACTAAAAGTGGCACCACAGGGGCCTGAAACGTCCTCCCAGGGGCACGTGCGCAGACGCTCGGTGAGAAGAGCCCCAGCATCCTCGACCTCGGGGGACGCCGAAGGGTCTCTAGGAGGCTGGGGCCCAATGGGGCCTGGGGAGATCTGCACACTGAGGGCAGCACCTCGGAGGATATTTATATTGATTCCGTGGGAGCGCGCAGCGAATTCGGGCTCGAACAATCTTTTCACCCGACCACGGCAGCCGGGCCAGAGGTCTGTTGCCTCTTCAGACACCAGCACAAGCTGCTCGATATCTGCTTGGACTCTCAAAACCCACGGGTTAGCATCGGGTCGAATTGAGGCTTGTTCGCCGAACACATCTTCTCCAAGGAAAACTCCGAACCACGCAGCAATCAGCTGACGGTGGGATTCGGGGCGGGAGCAAATACCTTGAAACCACTTGAGCCGTGGGACTCTGAGTTCGACGCAGAGCGGAATGATTTTCCAGTATTCAAGCACCTGCTGTGACGACAGCGAGCGAACGTGGTGCGCATCTTCCCAACTGGCTTTGCCTCTCATCGCTCTGCGACACAGGCCTGCTACAGCGAGCTCCAACTTGCGAAGTTGGCCTGAGCTTGGAATAAAACATTCGGCCGCCGAAAGGGCTGAGTTTACTACATGCCAAAGCAAAACGAAACGTTCCCATATATATATATATATATATATGTGTTAGGCGCCTGCCAAAACCCTCCTGATTTAAAATTAGCCGTCTTAGCGGCCTGGGTCCGTTTTCCAAGTTCTATCTGAAAAGACTGGGCGGAAGTCAGCCGCGGTCCCAAACGTCGCACGGCCTCGCCGCAACTACACTCCATGCCACGCAGCGCGCTAGCTACTCTACGCTTGGCCGAGGGCGGGACCGAAAACCGAAAGCTCATTGTTTCTTAGGGTTACGTTGGAGGTCGATCTTCGCCAGCTATATATATATATATAACGTCTGCGAATTTAGTGAGTCCTAGGTAAACCTTACGTTTTTCTTTATATATATATATATATATATATGTATAAATATATATATATATATATATAAAAAACACGCACACGCTGTGCTTCTAAATCTCGCCCCTGGGGATCCTGCTCGCGACGCTTCGAGATCCACCGACCGACAGGAGAACGAAACACATGAACGAACGACTCCACGGCGAACCCCCAGAAGCATTCCGCACCCCGTTTTCAGCAAAAGGTCCCCACCTTCTGCTGGGATGCTGGTGCATGCCTGTCTGTACCTCTGGCGGCAAAACCGCGTCTCCCTCCCCATAGCCACGTCAAGAACGGCCTCATCAACAGCTGGCCACGACGGGGGGGGGCAAACGCATTGCTTAAATCTTTGAATGAACCAATCCAGTACAAGCCTGCCTTATTCAGTCGCCAGAGTGTGCAAAGGTTGGCGGCGACCGCAGCTTCCCTCCTCCTGCGGCGCAAAAACCGCGGCCCAACCCCGAGCGCTGGTACGACGGCCCTCTTTTCCTCACTCTTTGTTTTCAGAAAGGCTTTGCCGAGCGGGTCCAATCCGCGCACCGCCCGACGCCCAGCAGGCCCAGGCAAAACGCTCTTCTGGAAAGCAAGCCCCTGGCTGCAGGACCACAAACTAAGGAGAAGGCCAGTCTGCCTGATTAAAAAGAAAACACGATGCAACAAGCTTCTAACTTGTTCGCCGCTCAAGCCAGGGAGTTTCGAGCCGAGCCCAGCGCGTCGACGAGGACCCCCCCCCCCCCCCCCCCCCCCCCCGGGGGTTCGCCGACCCCCAGGCGCCACTGCTCCGCGGGCAAGGACCACCTCGGGACCCCCTTTCTTTTAGAAGCTGCCTGTAAATGCGCTTGAAAAGACGCTAGGTCCCCTGAGGCATCTTTATGAGATTGAACGACGCGCCCCTGCCGATGCAACGGCGGGGCAGGAGGTCGCCGAAATCGCCCCCTTTCCCGCGCCAGGCCCCGCCGTTCCAGCCTCGACGCCAACATCCCCCCTTCCCCTCCTGTCTTGGACCAGGCCTCCAGCCATTCGCCCTTGGTCGGCAGGGCGCCCTGCAGTCGCGAGAAGTCTCGCTTGCCGCTGCCGAAGCGGCCGCCAGCAAGGCGCAAGCTCAGGCGATGGACCTCAGCCAAGTTTCGCCGCCTCCATGCCTCGCAGATCTCCTCAACGAGCGCCTCCTGCTTGCGTTCATAGGCCCGCTTGCGTTGCTTGTGGCATTTCTGCGCGGTGACCTTCAGCGCCCTGGTACACTCCTCTAGCTCCGAGAGGTCACATTCATGAAGCTGTACTCGGAGCTCACGCCGCTGAGCCAGTTGCCGAAGACGCTCCTGCCTGTCGGTGTCGACGTGATCCTTGACTCCACGTTCGAAGATATTTTCCAGGTTCTCGCATTACCGTGTCCAACTTCTTGAGCAGCTCCCCAGGTAGGTCATTGGCGCGAGTGTCAAGGTTCATCACCGATAGCTTAGACTCAACAGCAACCACACCATCATATCGCTCGCGGGAGCCACGCAAGGCGGCCATGAGCTTGTCTTTGTCCCACTTTACTTCCTCAGAATCTGCTCCGTCAGGTGCTCGCCAGGTCCAGGCCATCTCGTCACCCATATTAATGTTGAGCTCAATCCGAGCGTACACAAGTATGTGATCTCGGTGCTCCGCTACTGGTATGTGTTGTAGTTTGGTGCCCATCCGTTTCAGCGATCCATGAGAACGTGTTGTGGCTGCTACCGCGAGTGGAACAATGACGTGATCAATCATGTTTTTGTTGCCATGCGAGTCGTAGAAAGTGTGTGCAACTCTCTGGTATGCGTCGTAGCAAGCCATGATCTTCCATAAGCTCACGCAGTCTATGCCCAGCCCCGTAAACATGTCTTTCTTGGGTGACTCCAATTCCTATCGCCTGTTCTCCTGTGTTCTGCCACTGACCATCCTGCTTTGTGATACCCACTCCATCATTCACGTCCGTCATTATGAACGGGATGGCAGAGTGCGGGGCCTTGCTTATTGATGTGGATGCCCATCTCGTCAGTTTCACACAGCACGATACGTAGGTTGGCATAGCGTTTCTGTCCGACGGCTTAGGTGGATAATACAATGTCACCGCGTAAAAGGATATGCCTCTGAATCTAAAGTACACTCCCACTCCCCGCCCCTGCAGCTGCGTCGGTGGCGTGTCAATTCGTCCCATACATTTCTGCGGCCAGCGTGGTGGCAACATGAACGTGCACCATGCGCTTGTGTTACTAAATCTGCTATGTTTCCAGCCAGCAACCACTGCAAGTATGTCCAATATTCTTGTGGTTCGATATGACTCTCCCATATCTGCTTTGCAGCATGTTCCCTGCAGTCCGATCATCCCGAAATTGCTGGCCTCTGCTGCAATATCCTCCAGCCGCGCATTCGATCCATAGAGGCAATTAAACGAAATAGTAGCAAGTGTGTACACCATCCGCTGCTAGCCAGCAGCCACGTAGTAGTGAGAGTTATTGCCGTACGTGTAAGTGTGTCACCTCATGTCGCGCGCACGCTGGAGAGGGAGCAAAAACGGCGGCGCTAGGAGGAGGAGGAGGAGGAGGAGGAGGAGGAGGTGAGGAAGAGGAGGAGGACGAGGAGAACGAGGAGGACGAGGAGAAGGAGGAGGAGGAGGAGGAGGGGAGGAGGAGGGAGGAGGAGGAGGAGGAGGAGGAGGAGGAGGAGGAGGGGGGAGGAAGGAGGAGGGGAGGAGGGGGAGGAGGGTGGCTGCGTTCGAAGCGAACTCCGAGGCCGACAGCGACAGCGACAGGGGGGGAGAAGGGAGGAGGGGGGCCGCCAGATTGTCAACTGGCCCGCCGACAAAAAAAACTTTTGAGGGCTCCGCGCCTCGCAGCGGCCGCAGGCGGAGTCCGCCCGGCAGCGCCCCCACCAGCCGCGACCACAGCGAGGCCCAGGTGGCGTTGCTGCCGCGCGTCCAGCCGTCGGGCGAGTAGTTTCCCATCGCGGCGGCCTTTGAGCAGGCGCACCAAGCACCCCTCGGCAGCCGCCCCTCCCCCACGCCAGCCGGCCGCAGCAAGAATCGGGGCCAAGAGGGCCACCGGGAGAACGGAATCCTCACTTCCTTCTCCCCCTTCCCATGCTCTCCCCCTGCCCCTCGCCACTCCTCCCACGGGCCTCCTCCCACTTACCCCAGCCCCCTCGCCCCAGCGAGGAGGGGGGGAGGGATGGGGAGGCCAGGGCCGGCGCTCGAGAATCTGCTCTGCCAGCGGCTGTCGCCAATCTCCCACGACGTCGACTTCGCGAGCAAGGGGCCTTGGAATCTGGGCCAGCCGTACAACAATCCGCACGAAAAAGGCTTCCTCAGGAAGGTGTTTTGAAAGACTCCTCCAAAAAGCTGTCCTCTGGAGTTTTTTGGTGATTCAGAATCTATCTAGAAACCTTGCCAAGAACTCCCTGAGGAAGGTTTTTGTGGCAGAGTCCTCGTGAAAACCTTCCTGGAACCTTCCTCAGCAGGGCTGATTGGAAGGATCTTCCGAAAAAACCTTCCTGAAACCTTCCTCAGGAGGGCTTCTTGAGTGAATCCGGCCAAAAAACCGTCCTGAAGAACCTGCCTCGGGGAGGTTGGCCTCGCCTGGGCAGTGCAGCTGGTTTCCCCCTGCTGCACGCCCCGCCCCCCCCCCCCTTGGAGAGGCGAAAAACGGGGACCGACCAACATTGATTAAGTCGAGCCTGTCCCCCTACAGGCCGATTTTAAGCGGAAAATTAAGAATAGTCCAAACAATACCCTAAAATATTCACAAATGGTCGAACAATCGTCCCCAGACTTTTTTTGAACATGTTTGAATATTCCTCCTGTAGTTTTTGAATATTCCGCCTGTGGAGGGACAGGCCCGATTCAAGACTAAAACGATGTTTAAAACGAAATGGCGTTTACAACGAACAACGAAACGAGGCCCAACGTTGAAAACGAACGCTTGACACGAAGCTGGTGCCACACGAAAGCGAGCGACGAAGCGGGACGTCTTAAAGCAACAACGGAGACCGAAGCGAAGCAACAGCGGAAAACGAAATGAAACACAAACAAGAGCCCGAACCAGGCTAAACAGCCTGGTGGTCGGTCCTTGGCAAAAACTGCCGGCCGCCGAGCCTGGCCCCAGTAGTCCTGGAAAGTGCGCGTGGCTGCACCCGTCAGGGACAGGTTGGCGGTGGCAGTGGTCTCGAGAGCCACCAGCGGATCCACGAGACGCTGGTTCGACGTCAGGTTGAAGTCTGCCCCGAGGATGGAGAAGTCCATCACGACGCCCACGTCCTGCAGGTTGAAGCCGAGGGACCACACGAGCAACCAGCCCCTCTGCTTCGCCCACCGCTGCAACTGAGCCCCAACGCTCGTGCCAAAGAGGCTCGGGAAGGACGCAAGGAGGAATCGGACGTCCTCGGGGTACTGGAGGCTCGCGGCTGGTAGCGCCTCCCAGTACTTCAACAGGTGCCGCGCCGGCAGCTTGCGAGAGCCCCACTGGCCCTCCATCCTGGCGGCTGGTCGGGGACGAAGGATTAGCCATGTCGGGGACAGGGGATGGGGCAGTGAGGGGGTGCGTTTCCTTCGCCCTCCCCTGGGCTCAGAGTCTATACACCCTTTGGCTGGAGGGGCAATCCACCGGTCCTGGCGAAGCGGACGGCGAGCACAGACTCGTCTGGCCAGAAGTCCTCGTTGATGAGGAAGAGGTGGTTTAGATGATCCATGGTGCCCAGTTGCACCAGCGGGGCGTATGCAGAGCAATTGCTGTCTCCCCAATCCCAATCGCTAGTGCTGTCCGCACAAAACCCCTGATAGTAGCCAGTGTCAACGGCCGAAAGAAGTGCGACCTCTCGCATCGCGCGAAGCGAGAACACGGCAGAAACGTCGCCATAAAGAGGGCTGCCTTCATCCAACAAGAAGTAATTGACTAATGCGTATGGTCCGCGCTCGGACGCCTCGAGAAGAGAACTCGGGCTGCCAGAGGATGGAAAAGGCTTAAGACCATAAGAGTGCTGCTCAGCATCGTCTTCGGTCAACCACGCTTCACTGAAATTCTGCTTCACGTACTCGTGGCAATCGCCGTCAGCGGAATAAACCTGGCGGAAGATCCGTCACCGCGCTTTCAGCGGTAGGTGTAGCCTGGTCGACTTCACATGGCCAATCGTGTGTTGGCCACTGGCAAAACAACGGCTAGGAAAGCATCACCTTGAACAACTTCCCAACATGCATTTTACTACATTCCAATGTTGTTCCCACTTTCATTGGTATTGCGCACACACATGGATTAGCAGGCAGAACTAAAGAAGAACAAGTTCAGCCCACACACGCACCAACACAGAAACAGCTAAACACGCAAACTGAAACACAACAGCACACATTTACACACATTGACAAACACACTCGCGTGTGCGCTCGCGCGCACGCGCACGCAGACAAACGCACACACATCCATTCACACGCATTCACATACACACACCGCACACTTTATCTGCTGCCCGACGGGGGTTCATCGACTTCACGACGCGACCCCTGGACCGTTGTCAAAGACAGGCTTCGCTTGAGACAGCTTCACAGTCTGAGACAGCTTCACACATTCAGATCAGCTGCAATACCTTCCAGCAACTACATGGACGCAGAGCGGGTATATTTGAACATTTGGTTCTCGCATGGTATCCCCGCACAACTCATCACACACACACAGACGAAGAATCAAAGCAATCACATAGAGGATTGGCCGTTATCAACACTTCACGTTCGCTTCCACCTATATTCCAGTAAATGACCCCGCTCGTGCTCATGCTCGATGGATCAGCTACAAGGCTGCAGGTCGGTTCCCTTTCGAAGTTGTGCTCTGTCACGAGGTTCCATCGTAATTAGGGTCCTACAACTCGGGGCTTCAGAGCTTCAGTTACTAAGTACCGACACGGATTGAGAACTCGTATACAGCGTGGCCATTTTGGCTCAAGAAACGCCCAGGCGTGTGCGAAGCCAGCGCGCGTTCGGCAATGCGAGCGCGGCCTGGCGCCAGCAGCGGCGCTGCCTGGCTGCGGCCCGTGCACCTTCAACGCAGAGGCGCGCGGGGGTGCTGCGGGCGTCAAGCGAAGCGAGCACTGCCCGTGGCAAATGGGACGGCAGCGGCAAGCGAGGCGCTCCCAGCCGCAGCAGTGGGAGGCCGCGCTCCGGGACGGCCCTCGAGGATGGCTTCGCAGCATGCTCAAGCGCACGAGAAGCCATGTCTGGACGCTTGGACGGTCGGCGAGCCACCCCCCCCCTGCCCGCGGAGCTCCCTGGATGGATCGCTGAGCCGTTCGAGACTCGAGACGTTGGAGGCGCTAGGCGAGTGGCCGCGGGCATTGGTAGAGTCAGATGGCCCGCTGCTTCTAACGCCTGGCGGGCGAGACGCCCTCGGAGACAGCCGATCTGGTTGCTGCCGGCTCTCTGCACGCCCGTAGGCGGCGGGACGGGCGCGCCTGTTCGCGCAGTGGCGCAGCAACTGGGGAAGGGACGACTGACGGCAATGAGCGGATGAGGAGACCTGGGAGCTCGCCCTCGTGTTGGAGGCTGCCGACGCTTTGTCGCAGGAAGTCGTGCGCTGAACCTCGGCAACCTGCTCACCTCGAGGGCGCGAGCCAGCGCCCCTGCCTGGTTAGCCCGCCCAGCCATGGCTGCCTACCGAGCTCGCTGCCGTGCCCGCGTTGTCAAGGCGACTGGCGAGCCATGGTCGCCACCTCGTGGCTTGCTTCCAGGGCACCCGCTGGCGGTATTTTCCCTTGGCGTCCTGACGCGGCCTTGGGTGGCATGCGCGGGCAGGCTGAGTGACCGCCTTCTTCGCCGCGCTCGCGTCGATAACTTCACGCTCGGGTCGCGGGTCGAAGCCAAGGCCCGCGGCGAAGCTGCCGACGAGGTCCGCGAACCGCTCCTGGTCACCGAGGCCTTCGGGGCAACCATGGGTGGGCGGCTCAACCGTGCGAAGAGCCGCCAGCCTGCTTCCAGCGGAACTCTGCGGCAGTGGCTCGCCTTGCGCACGCCCAGGAGTGGCAACATCGGCGGCGGACCGCTCCTGCCGGTGCACCGCTGCGGCGGTGGCGCACGGCCAGGGGGAAACAACAATCGTCCCGGGAGCAGCTGTCGGCAACGCCGCAGGGCTCTACTTGTCGCGGCCTGCTTGTCGGCCGCCACTGAGGGAGCTTCCGGGGATCCTAGCGGCCTCCTAGATGGGGTCGGAGCAGATGGGGTCGGAGGATCGCGCCGCATCGCCGATATATCGGCGATGCATCGGCGATGCGCCGGCGATGCGCCGGCGATGCGCCGGCGATGCATCGTCGACGTCGGCGGTGCATCGGCGGCGCCGGCGCGGAGAAAATCGGGCCCCGCATCGAGCCGCATCGGCGATGCATCAGCGATGCGGCGCAATCCTCCGACCCCGTCTACTCCGACACCATCCAGGAGGCCTAGAGATCCGCAGTGCCGCGCGGCAGGCAGTGTGCCGGTGGTGGGCCCAGGGCGGCCCGAGGAGGCCGCCTCGGGCGTCCTTTGGCCGAGCCGGCGGCTCGGCCCTGCGGCGGTCGCGAGCCTGGCCCCGCTCTGCCAGGCAGCCACGGAAGCACTGCAGCGTCGTTTCCCCGTCGACCTGTGGCGGCGCGCCGCCAGAGGAAGGGGCGCGGGGCACGGCCGTGGGAGTGGGCCCACGGCGGCAGCGCTCTGCATAGCCTCGCTGACGGCGACTGCTGGCCTGGTGTCGCGGTCCACGGAGCAAGGCCTGTCGCAAGCCTGCCGTCCGCCGCGAATCACGGGGCTCGCGAGGTGGCAGTGCGGCGGCCCGACTTCGAGCCCCGGGCCGCGGGCACCGACATTCGGGCGACCCAGCGGCTGCTCGAGAGCGGGGACCTGGCGCCGGATGCGGCGGAGGCGCTGCGCGTCTTGCCAGTCGTCAACGTAATCATACAATCGGTGGCGGCGAACTGGGGCCGGCCGAACAAGGGCCCCCGCTCCGGCGCAGCCGTGGAGGACCTCGAGCACCGCATGTGGGCGCGCGCGGCGCTGGCTAGAAGGGGCCGCGGCGCTAGCTAGAGGGGGGCCTCGCGCAGGAGGAAGTGCGCTCCAGCCTCCCGGCCGAGACGTCACCCACTGGCAAGCTGCCAGCGATCCCGCTCCTTGCAGCGCTCGCGGTGGAAGCGAGGCTACTGACGGCGCCGCTTCCCGCTCCACGACCCAGCGGCCGCGCAGCCCGCAGGGGTGTCCTGGGCGCGCGCCTGGACCGATCGATGGCGCGTGCTCCAACCCAAGAGAGCCGCTGCTTGCGCGAGCTGGCTGGGACCTTCGCCGTGACACGAGCGCGGGCCGCTCGGAGCACAGTGGAGAAGGCTCTCGGAGGAGGAGGAGGAGCGGACCTGTGGACGGCGCGCAGACTGCGCTGCGCAAGGCGCGGAGCTCACCGCGGCGGCCCAGCGCCTCGAGCCTGGCAGGTGGGCCCGGAGCGAGGACGGGCCGCCTCTCGACGGTGCGCCCCGCCACCTCCCGTCCTGCTCCAGGAGGCGGACGAGGCACCTGCGGGCTCCTGCCCTGCGCGCAGGCGGCTCCTGGCCGCTTTGATTTTGTTTGGTTTGTAAAAAAAGGATCCGGCGATAAGCCGGGTTATCTGGCTTGCCCCCCCTCCGCCCCACCCCCCAGGATAACCTAACCTTGCCGGTTGTGCAAGTCCGGGGTGGTGGGGCGGGGGCACATGCGGGGCTGTCCACAGCCCAGAGGTTGGGTTATCGGCGGCCGGTCCCCTCCTCCTCCCCCCCACCGGATAACCTTGGTTATCGCCGATTCAAGATCTCAGCATCCATCGACCTGCAGGGAAGGCAGAGTTTCACTGCACCGACCTTGCACACGTGCTGCAGCGGATTTCTGGCGTGGACTTCTGTCCGCGCAAAACCCCGAGACGGCGAGCGAAAAACACGAAGTGAATTCCACATGGACTTTTGTTTAATCTTCAGTCCTGGCCAGACAAGATCCGCAGGTCACTTCGAAATCCGGAACGCACTTCTCCAGGACACCCCGGGCCCATCCGACTGCTTCCCAAGCGAACTCCGCTCTGCGATGCTGGCGCCGTGCAGAAGCTGTGCAGTGCGAGCGTGCAGAAGCGGAGCTCGACACCGCGAGATGTCCGAGCTGCTGCGGTGCGTCCGATGGCATGCACGGAACGCCCCGCCGCAGGGCACGCGACCTTGCGCTCGCCCAGGCTGGGCGCGCCTCGCGTGGGGGCCTCTGCGGGCGGTGCTCCTGGCCGCGGTGGGGCCCACGGGGCCCTGCATGCAGTGGAGGGGGCCAGTCCACGAGAAACCTTCCACAGGAAGCCCGGCCCTGAGATCCCAGGACGCCCTCTGCTTTTTGGTGTGGGAACGTCACGCCTTCCATCGAGTGCGAGAAGAAGCCCAAGAGATCCAGGACACCCTGGAGGCGAGCAGAGTGTTTCGTGGCATGGGCCCCCACTGTAAGGGCGAACCACGGCGGCCGAAGCAGCC